AGATGAAGAAAAAGAGAAAATTTTGGAGGGGGATAGTAAAGATTTGGAAGAGGAGATAGGTGAATTGGAGGAAGAGAAAGAAAGGTTGGAGAGGGAGAAGAAGAGGTGGTGATGAAGTTGCATGATGCATTGGTTAATTTCAGTAGAGGAGGGGAAGGTAATGAACAAATTGTGTAAAAAAAAATTATTCAATTCTGTTTTATTATTTATCATTTTTCCTCTTTATTATTGCAGCAGGTAAAATGCAAAATTATATAATTTCTTAGAGAATGAATTTTTTTTTTATCCATTCATTTATTCACTTTATTTTCTGTTCATTTACTTTCAATTGCTACTTTTGATTGACATCACAGAAGGTGTTGAGAAAGATCAAGGTAAACACCATTTGCACACTCTTAATAATTTATGTCCATTTACTTTTGCATACATTAAATTTTCTTATGTCTTACAGAAAGTGTGCAAGTAGGACTAAAACGTAAAAATGAAAGTAAGTTTATTATTTACTACAGACTATGAAAAAATCCTTTATAATCTTATTAGAATGTCAAAAATCCCTATAATAAAACTAATATTGTAAAATGATTAGCACAAAAAATTTTAATAACTTAATATTCATATTTTTTTTTCAATATCTCTAGCCAGTATAAATCATGATCTTTGTGCATTAAAGTATTTCCTTCAGCCCCACTTGCCCATTTAATTTCTGGATTCATTATAGGTGTATAACGATCTTTTTGATGTATTCCAGCCCAGCCAAAGTCTATAAGCATTACTTGTAACTTTCCATGAACCTTTTCTATCATTGTGTTTGAACTACATAAGTCACCAAAAACAATATCATTAGTGTGCAAAGTGTCAATGGCCTCTTGAATATTTTTTAAAACATCATTATATTCCTCTTTTGTAATGTTTGCAGTCTGTAATGTTTCACCATTAATATATTTCATTACAATCATGTACCATCCTCCCAAATTGATGTTGCTGACACAAAAAAGTTTTGGTGCAAGGTTTTTCTCAGCACAAAGATGGTGTGCTTTAGCATTATACCTCTGAGTAAATTTGATAACAATTTCACATCCATTATAAGTTTTTCCCTTGAATAAAAGCTTTGATTTGTCTTCTGTCAACCAATCTTCATAAGTAAATTTTACTGCTACATCATCATTTGTGATGTATTTATGAGGATATGGGTAAAATCGTTGAGGATTCTCAATCTTTACATGTTTGAATACATCAAGTTTCTGATAAAAGCTTTTTAAACACGGGTCTGCATTGTATAATGCTTGAAAAAGACATGCAATATGTCGATAGCATTTTTCATCAAGACTAGGTATTAAAGACTAGTGCCGTAATCCAAAAAAGGAAAAAGTATGGTTGCAAAAGTGGTCGCAAAGGCAATTGCAAC